CCTGGAAGCTAGGGGATTATAAAGGTTGTTCAAGGTTTATTCTCTTCTCTAGTTTTAGATTTTTCCAAAGGCTTCTTCTTTCTTCTGGTGAGGTGTCTGAAAAAGTTTTTAAATTACTTGGTTGTGTTCCTAAGTCGTCAGAAGTACCATGTTCTTTGACTAGATTTCATAACATCTGACACCCTATCTAGAGCTGAAGTTTTGGACATGCCACTGCACTTTTCAGTGCATTTGTTGCCTTCTTTGCTTCTCAGCCCCTCTCTATCCATAGCGTCCTGACTCGTTATGAGGAGGGCAGAAGTTTATGTACATGTATGTGTCTCTTGAAAGCTGCCAAGCTTCTACTCGCAACACCTTTTAGGTGGTGTGATTGTACCCATGGTGGGTAAATCCCACAGGTTCAAATACAGGCAAACGCAAATACACACCTGCCTCTATTCTCTCTCTCTTTTTTTAATCTTCTTTTTTTGTAATGGCTTGCATGTTTTCTCACAGTGTGAAGCATGGGTAGAAATTTCTGTGGTTCTCAGGGGGGCTGAGGAGTGGGTGACAGGGGAAATGGTGCTTGTAGTCAAGCAGTTGTTTAGGCAGTGCACAGAGGGAAGTCACATCAGTGGTCAAGTAAGGTGCATGGTACCATATATGGCAAACATTTGTGCTGTATTTAATTTTTTTTTTCTCTCAGTGCAAAAGCTGCTCTTTGCATTTCAAGTCTGACTTTTTGGACTTTTGTGTGACAGTTTTTAAGCTAGACTGAAAATTTTGGTGGATTTTAACACCACTGACCAAGTTTCATTCTCTGAGCAGATGCCACACAGTTTCATAGTTTGGTTTTCTTCGCCTCAAATTGAGGGTTAAAGAAAGGGCATTCTTTGAGAAACAGCTGTTCTTTTATATTCATATTAACTAGTTTTATCAATGGAGGAAGAAAGTGGGCATCAGATTCTGGGAACTCCATTGCACAGTAAAAGACAGAGGGTTGCTTGTTTGGCTTTTTTTTTTTCAGAATTGACTAGTAACTTTTGGATGCATCCAGTTATTTTCTGATATTATTGAACCCACTCCACTTTTGAAGGACCTGCTTTTTAGAAAGTGAGTAGTGACATTTTCTCGATATCAGTGCTTTGCAAAGGATCTGAAGCTAATACAAATGAAAGCCTCTAAATTTACCTTGTGGGAAGCATTTTCTTCGAGATAGGATTCTCACCTTACCTTCCCTGTGAACTACTCTAGTCCCCAAAGCAGCTAAATTTAGTCCAAATTTCAAGAGAAACATTTACCTTTTCTTTTTTGAGATCTGTTGCTGAGTTGCCTCTTGTAAAATCCCATGTACTCTAGAAAACATGAGAAGTAAACAGCAGAGGATGTATATTTACTCACTTGACTTAGTGGGAGATTCTGACTAAGAATGTGGTCTCTCACTAATAATGAAATGGTTTTGAAGTTTGAAATATGTATTTTGGTCACAATACATTATTTAGATGATTGATATTGATCAAGTTTGCTCTCAAACCAAAGTGGCCTCAGTTTCCTAAGATGCTGCAATCTGTTACAGAAAGGTAGGTGAGGGCAACTGGGGAAAAAAACCCTACATTTCAACTCATATTAAAAAAATATATATATATATGAACGCAAACAGCCTCGATTTGGGCAGCATTTTTTTACCAGCTCAGAGATGGAAGATTGCCTTTCTTCTTGAAGGCTGTTGGTTTTTAATCCACTTGCTTTCTCATCTCCCATATTTTGCATTCTTTTATTTCATTATGAGCTCAAGCCTTAGCTGCCCAGATCCTTGGGCCCAAAGCACCTCTGTCATTTAGTGAGACCAGACTATTTCAAAACCTCCTGTCCCCTGCAGCAAGGCTCCAGCAGCGTACTGAGCACCTGCACCTGCAAACCGAGCAGCTGCTTGAGCTGTTATTGAGACCTAGAGTGACTTTCTCCCAAGTCCTCTGCAGCTCAAAGTTCCATTTAGCTGTGGAGCAGTTGTTGGTGTTAGCACACCTGAAGCTGAAATTAGGGTTGCAAAAATTCTTTGCCTATTTAAGCAAGCACCAGGTCTGGGTACAATTTTTCTTTGTGCTGAGATGAAATATTTTATTTCTGAAAATTCCTGATTCATTCAAGCCAAAATGGAGACCAAGAGATGTATCTAGCAAGATCCTGATTTCTATCAAGAAGGAAAGGCCCGTCAGCTTTGATTGTGTACATCTCAAGAAAGTGCACCAGCCTCTAGATTGGGGGTGGTACTGGTGGTGTAGTTGTTTTCATTAAAAACCTCAAAAGGCGTTGATTTAATTTTAAGGCAATAGAAAAGCATCTCTGAAATAATGAAAAGCTTTGTGGGATGGGCAGATGAACGTTTCCGTCCAGACTCACTGACAGATTTTCTATTAATGCTTTGCTATTTTTTCCTGACAATGAAAGCAGAAGTTAGATTACAAAAAGCCAAACCTTATTTATTAGCTGCAGTCATACTGGATTTATTTTAAAATAATAAATATTGTGGGGGGAAAAAGGCCAATTCAAATTACTTGCCAAGGTCTTTGGCAAGTGTCATATCCGAATTGCACTATTTCCATTTTACATAGCAAACCAATTTACTGTCATTCAATTCTTTTAATGTGGATAAAATAGGCATCCTGTTACATTATTCAAGTCTACCACATTAAATACTTTCAATCACAATAATTTTGGTAATATCCTAAGATATGTAAATGCCAACAAACAAATAATAAATGTTAATATGGAATAATAAAAGTTCCTGAGATAAAGCTGTTCAAATATAGGTTGTCTTTTCTTTAAAAAAAATAAATTGAAAATGATATTTACCATGTCATGAAAGTGTCATATGATCTGTAGTTCACACGAAAATAAGTTACACTAATGCGGGTGAAAGACTGAAAGAAACTGGCAAGTTTTCCTTTGCTGAATTAGTTGCCTCTTATATATTTTAATTCTTTGCTCATGTGGAGCATTTGCTATGGCATTTATACATGATTCTCCTCAAGCCTGACAATATTTATCAAGTTTATTTGTTATTTTCCAGAAACTAAAGCTTTAGGCATGAGATCTTGGTAGAGCTCTTCAGCAATTATTCCAATTTGATCTGGTATTTTGAAGTATTAAAAAACAAGACAAAAAGAAACCAGCCGCTCCAACTAGAATTATTTAAAGTTTTGTAGATTGGATGTACTCTGAAGTATTGTAGTGCTTTCAGCATGGATTGAGGAAATAATGAACAAGTCTGACTTACTGATTTTTTCTAAAATAAAAATCATATCCTAGTTGAAATGCAAATCTTAGGCTTACTTTTCTACAAAAAATGGGTCTCTTGTTATTCACTTGTAAAGGTAGAAAGAAGATAAGGGAATGAGAAGAGACAGCAGTTTCTGAGGGTCACTGAAAATAAATTTAAAACTTTATAACTTTAAAATCAGAACTGACACTGGCCTCATTCTGAAACACTGGCAGGTCTGGGAAGAGTTGATGCCCTTCACGCAGCTGTAAGCCTGAAAAAGGAGTTTGGCAGTTAGGTGGGGGTGGGAGGAAAAATCTGTCATGTGGAGGAAGAAAAACCAAATCTTGTAGAAGAGATAGTGAGTAAGGAAACAAAAATATGCAGTGAAGGGAGGGGAGAGCAAAAAGCTTGTGTGTGTTTCGGTGATACCACCGTTTTAATATCCTACTGTGTGCCAGAGAGCACTCTGCCACCAGCAATTGCTGAAAGACACCTCTGCCTCCCCTGAGCCTACAGAGCCAGCTCTCCACCTGCTCTGCGAGCCAGTGGTCCAGTGTGGACCTGGCTGGGGAGCTGGACAAGATGAGCAGGTTTCTAGGTTTGCCTTGCCCTTGTGTGAGTTCTGCTCTTGTTTCTCTGCAGACATTCAACAGCTCAACTGTTCAACAAGGTTCAATGCAAAATGCAAATACCAGGATTTATTTGTAACACTCGAAAGAGTTATTCCCGTTTACAGACGTTTAGAAAACACAGAGTTGTGAAAAGCCATAGTGAATGTGCACATGCTGCAGTAACATCAGAGGGATGCCACTTCCATTGTCCAGTCTCCAGGGCTTTTTTCTCTGCTGTCCAGACAGTTTTTTCATGAGCTGTGTTAGCTGACATAGTTGTCTTCCCTTTGAAGCCTTTTAGTAGGTTTGCATCTGTGTAACCTTTCACTCTAGAACTCACTGTGTCCTTTTCCTTAGTAGAAGGCAGTGACTCCTTAGTTCTGACCCAAGCAACCAGAAATTATGTCAAGTCCTCAAAAAAGTCTTAAAAAGCACAAGTGTGCTTTTGTCGGTCTTCTTTTCTTTAAGAGAAGGGTTAAATGCAAGGTTTTGCTTGTCTCCTGGTTTCTCTGCCTTCAAGTTCTGATTTTTTCTGAAATCCAAAGGGTTAAACACTTTAATTGTTATGATTAAAACTAATGATTTAATGCTGTAATAAAGAAGCTGAGACTTAAAATGCACAAGACTCGAGTTATGAGAACTGGTAACACACAAATTCATTAAAATATTGGATTTTTGAGTTCAAAAAACCTCCAAAAACCCAGAATTGATCAGGTTGGTTTGAGGACATCGCACATTATTTGTGGGCAAGCTAGGAACCAAAAACAAACACCTGGGTTGCTTTTCTTGTACAGAATAAAAACATATATATGCATAAGTTCAAAGCTCGTCTCAGAGAGGCCTTGACTTAATCACATGGTTCTTCTCTGTAGTTTGTAGCATTTGTACTGGGGTTCCAGCATAAGCATTTGTAGCTATTTCTTGGTATGAAGGCTTCATATTCACACCATGCATTGTCACAGCAATCCTTGTGAAGTAATTCTGTGGTTAAGGTTTCCATCTACCTGCATTTAAAAGGAAGTAACATTCCTCCCACCTGAAGCGCTGGTTGCGTTACACTTGCACCTGTCTCTGTTGCTTGTTTCTCTTTTTCTTTTCCTGCCATCTTTGGGGGAAGAAGTTCCTTCTTCCACAGTCCCAGCTCACAGTCAGAGGGACACAGAGCGCTTCCTCTTCCTCGTGGAATATTCCCCTGCCACAAAACTGGATAAGGAATGGCTCAGGTGGGTGTCTAGGGTATCAGAGCTGTTGCTGCTCATTTTCACCCGTGGACACAGGCACTGGAGCATGGCTCTGCGGATGTAGCTGTCAAAGCAAAAGTAAATGAAAGGGTTGGCACAGCTATTGGCAAAAGCAAAAGGGCTGCTCACCTTCATGCCCAGCTGGGCAACCGTGCCAGAAAAGCAGTTGGGCTGCTTCAGGAGCCGCAAAAGGATGGCCATAAGCTTGAAAAGATTGTAAGGAACCCAGGAGACAACAAAAGCTGCCACTACAATGAAGACAATCTTGATGGATTTTCTCAGCTTTTTATCACGTTTTCCAGCCTTCTGATAGTGCACACAGAGTTTCTTGGTGATGGAGCAATAAAAGGTTAAGATACTCAACAGTGGGACGAAGAAGGCCAGGATTAAAAGCATCAGTGACATGATCTGTTTGACTTCTGTCACAGCTTTGTCCGTGCAGTAAGTCTTTCCATATTGAGTCTTCAGTTCTCTGGACAAAAGGGTTGGAATCCCTAAGCAGCAGGATAATACCCAGACAGAGATGCAGAGTCCTCCAAAATAGGATCTTGTCCTGATCCGTCGTGCGACACACGGGTGCATGATTGCGAGGTACCGGTCAGCACTCATGCAGGTGAGGAGCAGGATGCTGCAGTACATGTTGACTGAGATGACATAGGAACTAGCTTTGCACAGGAAAGATCCTACCCTCCAGGTCTCGTCTGACACCTCCATGTCCACCCAGAAAGGCAGTGTGATGAGGAAGATGAAGTCAGATGTAGCGAGGTTGATGATAAAGATGTCAATCAGCCTCTGGACACGCCGCTTGAAGATCAAGGCTGCTATCAGGATTGAGTTGCCAATAATGCCCACCAGGAACACGGCACTATAAAGGATAGGCAGGAAAGTAGACATATGTTGCAGGTGCTGGTACTGGCACTGGTCTTCATAGTAGTAGTCATAGTTGAAAGTGACTGTAGACATGGATGATAGCGGGGCAAGTTCCGTTTCTGGCCCAGCTGTCCTCATCCTCTCTCTGAGGGAGGCTCTGAGCTTCCCCTACCCTTCCAGGCCTTCTTTAAAAATATTTTATCAGTGAGCAGGGAGGAGGGGGAGAGCCGGAAGGAGAAAAGCGGTTTTTGTGGGGAGGTAATTTGTATGCTTTTAACCAACTGCATAGGCAACGAACAAGCAACACGTATCTGATGAGTCAAAACCCTGCCTACAGAATAAATGCATTGTGGGTTTTTTTAATATCAGGTTTAGTTTTACTGATTCTATCTCCCTTTTGCATTTTCCAGCTTCAGGTTTTGCTTTTTTTTCTGGTGGAGGGAAGGTAGTTTTTGATATTCTGAACTTTTTGGGTTTTAGGAAAGTATATTGGAAGTTTGAAGAAATTTGAGATTGTACCAGCTTATAAGAAACCTGAGAAGAGTGAATTCAGGTGCCCCAACTTTTATCTACATTCAAAACATTTTGTATAAATTGCTTGTCTGGGCAAGTCTGATTTTCTTGAGGCTTGGAGGTTTTTACTTTACTTGACTCTTTATGATGTTGCTTTCTGTTTGAAAGCAATTCTCTCATAAGAATATATATAGGAAAAAATATTTAAAACTCCTATATCCATTCTGCCCTGTAGCTGGTTGTTCTTTACCAGTCCCAGGTTCTTGGCTGCCCTGCCAGTGCGACCCCTCCTCCTGCAGCCCTGCCAATTCCCCTAAGCGTGGACTTTCCACACCCAACTTTAGAATGTATCAGAAACTTCGAGAACAATGTTCCAATGTGTTGTATATGCTTCTGTTATTTGAAACTTTACTTGATGCTCCCATCCCCCACAAAGGCTTTCTCATCAGCCACAGTCCTGTGTTCCTTCTCCTTCTGGCTGCACAGCCTGTGTGGCTCTTGAGCTGTTCTTATAAACAGCACTCACTTGTCTAACGAGCTCTGATTTCCTTCATCTTTCATTTGTAGTATCAGTATTGCTCCAGCTGTGACTTACCTTACAGACAGCCCTTTCAGCATTGCATAAATCAAACAGAAATTCTCATTTTTAAAACTACTCAATTCATTACAGCTTTGTCAGTGCATACTAATTTGAAACCTGCACAATTGGTCATCATCCTTCCTCTCTTCTAAAAATAATTTAATATTCTCCTTCCTCTCCCTTCCACCAACACATTCACAGACCAGGCAGGCCTCCAGGATTCTCAAAGCTTTGAAGAAATCACCTCTTGGTGCATGCTCCATCCCTGGGCAGACTGATTGCCTCTGTATGTGTCTCCACATGCAAAGAGCAACTCCAAATTGCAAGCACAGCGACTTAGTCCCTCCAGAGCACTCTGGATGCATTCAAATTCACTCTCCCAGTGCTCAGGTTATCTGCTCCTGTGCAACAGGTGCCTGGTAGACTTCCAGGCACCTGGAAAAGCAGAAGCTGCTGTAAAATGACTGGCTGCTGGATGGAAGAGAATTTCGGTGGGCACTGGCTCATGTGATATGCTGATATCTAATAAGTACCCACTTATACACAACTGCCTTCCTAGCTGTAGGGCACTGGTGGACTCCAGCTGACTATTTTTATGGAATGTGTAAGCATTAAGTTCGTGAGTGTAATTCATCACAGACTCTTAAAAAGGCTCAAGGTGTATAAAAACACCCCGGCTAAGATTATTGATTTGTATGCCACAGAAGTAAATGTGAACCTGTAACGAATAACAGGCTAAAAACCATCTTCCTGCTATATCAAAGTAAGCATTCACCCTAAAAATCATTATATTCTCTTCTAAGCAAGAGGCAGTTGACTGTTCAGAGTAAAAAACCTCCACAGATTTGTAAAAGGTCTTGTTGTTATTCTAGAAGTAATCTCCTGCACCTGATTGCTCAAAACACAATTCTTATTTTCAATGAAATGTAAAAGTCTCTTCTGTGGTGATTACAGTGAGTAGGTACTGTTGCTGCAAGTCTTTTTCTTTATGAGAGACTTGTCAGTGGTCAGTTGCAGTACGGATTTGTGTGCCAGCTTATTTCTTCCTTGGCAAAGCTGGGAGAAGGAAGCACAGAACCAAACTCCTAAAAGTCTTAAAATCAGGTTGCATTGAGGACACTGCAATTTGCATGCAAGCGACATCAAGTGTAAACCTGCAAGAAAACACAGGCTAAAAATCATCCTTTCACAATCTGAAAAGTACAATGAATACACTGAGTTTTCAGCCAAGACTTGTGTAAAAGTGCCCAAGTAACTTACACTTTACAAAAACAATGGTTGATTAATTCAGTGCAGAGGTGAATTTTATGGGATCTTTGCTTATTGCTGCTTCAAGGAATGTGTTTTAGTTTAGTTTTGTTTTGATTTTTTTGTTTTTTTCCAAGAAGCACTGGGAAATAGAGGCATTCTCTTTCCATTAGTACTAGGGCAGGAGACCAGCTGAACCCTACAGTCAATTCTACACTTGTTCTGCCTCTCTTGCAAAGGCGGATCTACATATTATTTTACTCTGCAGTTAGAATATAACAGCTTACAAGCAGTTACAAGCTTTAGAAATCAGACACAAACTTCTCTTCCCTCCATTGCACACAACTTCATACTCCTTAAAATTCACTCCTTTCCTCTCTATCTCAGACTGAAAAAAATGAATAATTTAAAAAAGCTTAAAGGCATCATAAAAATACATTTATGTCTTTATATTCCTGTGTTTGTGGTTCCTCACTATGTTGTCTCCCTTTAGATTAATAGCATTACCCACTAAAATAAAAACTTAAATAGGAAACCTTTTCCAACAGGGACCAACTCTTCTCTACTGAATTTGCTGTGTATTTCTTGAATGCTCTAAGTAGATATAGGGATGTCACTGCATGTTGCCATATTCCATGTGACACTTCCTTATCTGGGCAGAAGAGTTGTGGAGATAATGTAAAGCATTCTTATGAATAATGAGGTGATCTATAATTATCCAAGTGGAGCAGCAGCAAGCATATTTGTCAGTAGTCTGGGGTGTTTTTATGTGATAGTGATTCACTTAGGGCATCATGCAGGGTCTTACTCTTCCCACATCTCTTTTTCCCGAGACAGAGCCAAGCTATCAAAAATACTGAGCACGTGGAAATTCCTCCCCTAACACTCCTGCATAGATATTCCAGAAAGCTCAGGAGGACAGATTCCATCCTCTCCTCATCCTACTCCTGTATTTCCACAGCATTTTCCTCCTCCCAGGCTTCACCAGGTACATGTAAACCCTTTCCCCCAAAAAAAATTCTCTGCGGAAGCAACCAGCTACTGGTTTGGCTCAGGTGTATGTTCTTCAATCTGGGATACCCATCTTGTCCAGCCCTTGATGCAGCTCTGAAAAAAAATAAAGCTTCTGGGTTCTGAGTAGTTTTCAACCTGAGAACCAACTTAACTTTTGTAACCAGACATTCAGAGCAGGTACTGTGATGGTGGCCCTGCATTTGGCCAGATCTGCCTTAAATTCCATGTTTCTCTGGCAGTTCTGCCTCTCTCAAATGCACCTGTAAGATCTGTCAGGTCAGAGATTGCACCATTCCTCAAATCTTCCTCATAGGAATGTGGAGGTATTTCCAACAGCAGCAAGGGAAAATCTTTCACGTTTTTTTTTTCATGGTTCCATACTGCCTGTAATACATGTATCGTGGTAGGCAGTCACATAATTTGTGGGGATAATATCTGCATAGGAAGTAGGCAGCGTTGCTGATTTTCTTTATTACACACACCACCTCCCCCTCACAAATTTCTGCAATTGAAGCATTTCAGGTAGCAAGGTGTGGGTTTGGTTTTTTGGGTTGTTTATTTTTGTTGTTGTTGTTGTTTTACACCCTCTGTTTTACTGATAGTTTAAATGTCATTTTATTCCAGCTGATACATGCACTTTTATATAAGCACAGTCATGTAGATAAAATAAGCTGCATATCTGTAAATTATTAATAGTGATAAATGCTGAGAATGACAGAGGTTCATTTGGCTGTAAAACAAAGTGTAGTTGTTTCTGAGTGATTTTACTTTAAAAACCATGTAAGAAACAGACCTAATTAAAAAAAAATCAAAAAACCTACACTAAATTGGCTGAAACTGTCCTACTATGCTGTGGCTAGTTAAAGGCATGCTCAGAGGCAACCACATGAAGGTGAACCAATGGAAGTTTCATCTCTCAACAAATAGGAAAGGGTGGAACCTATTCAGGTAAAACTGTGGCCACTAAGGCAATGTATCAGGATAGACTGAAATAGTTTCCTGCTGAGAGCAGTGGTCTACAAAATGCAGTGCAGGAAGAAAATATTTTTGTACACTTACTTTTAAAATATTCATTATTGTTTCTTGCCACTTATCCTTTTTTAATTTCTATTTTTGTGGATGTTTTATAATGTACATTATATACTGGTGTGGTAGTACATGTGTATACTTAAAAAAATATTTACATTATTAGGAGTGCTTGATCAAAAAGTTTTTACGGACAAGGTACATGATAAAAAGGACACCACTGACATAGAGGATGAGTAACATTATAATGTCCCAGTGCTATTCATGGTATTTGGGAGAAGCACATCCAGAAGGTTTTCTGTCTGTAAAAATTATACTACTGTGTCCTGTGCCACAAAGACGTTAAAGAAAAATAAAGAAGGCAGAAAAGAGCGGTGGTCTACAAAATGCAGTGCAGGAAGAAAATATTTTTGTACACTTACTTTTAAAATATTCATTATTGTTTCTTGCCACTTATCCTTTTTTTAATTTATATTTTTGTGGATGTTTTATAATGTACATTATATACTGGTGTGGTAGTACAGGTGTAAACTTTAAAAAATTTTACATTATTAGGAGTGCTTGATCAAAAAGTTTTTACGGACAAGGTACATGATAAAAAGGACACCACTGACATAGAGGATGAGTAACATTATAATGTCCCAGTGCTATTCATGGTATTTGGGAGAAGCACATCCAGAAGGTTTTCTGTCTGTAAAAATTATACTACTGTGTCCTGTGCCACAAAGACGTTAAAGAAAAATAAAGAAGGCAGAAA